TTTCTATAAACGTGCCATGTGTCGCTTTGCAATTTCCCACTTCCTGGTGTTACAATGAGGTTCATCAACTGCATTTTTGTTGTATTTGTCTCCGTTTTGTGCCAAGCTGGCTCATAATCAAGTGACCTATTTATTCCAGTCCATAAATAATTTCAGATGAAAATAGGGCCCCACAGGCAGGGAGCAAGAATACTGACTATCCTTCCAAATGTTCTGTCTATCTGTCTCCATGTTGTCACTCTTCCCAGCAGAAGAGGGAGTTTTATCTAAAACGATGTGTTGAGTTGTGGTATCTAATTCATTCATATCCATGCATTTTGTCTTACCTTACTTATTTATGATTGAGGAAACTGTATCATAGTACATGTGTTTAACTAACTTTAATTCATGCATGATTTCACTCCAGACTGTACATCTCCTAGACCCTTAGTGAGCTCATATTTTCAAAAACATCTGTTCACTTAAAAAAAAGAAAAATCAAAAAGGAGTTGTTATTCCTACCACTATATTGAGTGTAACGACAGAGACGTTTGGAGGCTAAAGTAGCAGCTGCGAGATGTTTGTAAGAGCTCGGTCTCTTGTGCATTATTTAGTCATTTAACGTTATGAGTAAAAAAAAAAAAAAAAACAGCTACCTAAGGAGCCCAGAGTATTTGGCACCACATGTTGTCATTACACAAGTCCTATATTCACTCCCAAACCACATCTGTTTCTGTTTCTCCATAACTAAGCAATCAACATTTTTTGGCTGTGTGAGTAAATAGAGGGGAAAAAATATGCACACATAACTACAGGATGCAAAGTCAACACTGAAAGTCCTATATAACCTAGTTATGAATTAAACAAGAGACCTACCTGCAAGGCATTGCTGCAAAAAAAATTTCATTAGCATGTTGTAAAACTTCAAAGGATGTAAAACAACTTACTCTATTCTATTTAATTACATTGACATATCTGCTTACTTTTATTTTCTCTTTGCTGTCAAAACTTGGGTTAAACCCTTTTTTGTATGGGCGCATTTTGTTTTGGAGTCCCTGCCTGTCTCTCTGTCTTTCAAGACACATTGTTCTGAAAAACATCTAAAGGCCAGCAAGGACATTTTGCAGTGATCAAGTAAAAGGAGCCCAAGTATAGAAAGATCAAATCTTATCAAACATGTTTGGATAATATCAAGAACTTAACAGCCTTGGTCACAAGAGACTGCTGTTAGTTCCTCCGACCCCTTTTATCTTAGTTTTGAACTTTTTTTTTTCTCTATTTTCTTTATTTTTGTATTTCAAAATTGTATTTGTGTTTCATTTGTATGTCCATACTTTGTGGTTTTCCTTTAAAGGTGGCTGTGTAAATATTTATTGACTGAGAGAGATCATGCATATCAAATCAACAAACATTTAAAAGAGCTATACAGAAATAAGTTGTACCTTTTTAAAATATTTACACTAATGCATTTCTTTGACCATGTTATCGGCTACATGTACAAAACCAATATTCTAGAGTGGAAGCTGCAAACCACGCGATGTTCTCTGCAGTGACTCTATACATGCCTTACTGTAGCTTATTTTAGAGTCACTGGAAGTCTTTCCTCCTTGACTGCTCTGTATGTGACTTTATCCCCAGAGGAAGGAGTGGCAAACAAATCCTTTGTGTTAAAAAAGTATTTCTGCTCAAAGCCAGATGAAGAATAAAAACATCTCACTCTCAGCAGTGTTTGTTTGGCCCCAAGCAAACTCATAACTGATGAGGCTCTGTGGCCTCACTGCTTGTTTAAAGCACATGGTAATTAAAAAGAAAAATAGCACCAAAAACAGCATTAGAGAGATTTTTCCCCCCTTGTTTGTGTGAGCACAGGTGGAGAGTTTTATGGGCGGTTTTGTCAGTTTTTATTTATATGAATTAAAACAAATCTTGTCAGCAGTAAAATATTTATAAGGCAAAGCAACAATGAATGTGTTGAGAGTTGCAGTGCATCCGGAAAAAATTCACTGCGCTTCACTTCTCCCAAAAGTTTTTGGTTAAAGCGTTATCCAGAATTGTCATAAATTAATATCATTCTTTGAAAGTCTACATATGAATACCTCATTTTGACAATGTGGAAAAATACTTTTGACAAAATGTATTGAAATTAGAGAACCAAGAAATCACATTTACATAACTAATCACAGCCTTTGCTTTGTAACATGTTGATCCACCTTTGGCAGCAAATACAGAATCGGGTCTTTTTGAATACGATGCAACAAGCTTAGCACACCCATTTTCAGGCAGTTTTACCTTTCCAAGCGGTAAAAATGTTTCTGGGGCCTTCCCCAGATTTGTCTCAGAGGTAATTCCTTTGATTTCATGCTTTGTGTGTGACCTCTGACCTGCATTGTCAATCGTGGGACCCTATATAAATAGCTGAGTGCCTTTCCAAATCAAGTCAACAGAATTAACCACAAGTGGAATCCATTTAAGGTGTCACAACATATCAAGGTTAATTTTTGGAAACAGTTCAATATTGAGCTTTGTTGCAAAGGCTGTGAAGTCTTCCATAAATGTGATTTCTTGGTTTCCATTTTTAATACATTTGTAAATATTTCAAAAACCCATTTACCCCATCACTGTGCTGGGGTATTTGTGTGTAGAAGTTTGGTGGAAAGACATAAATTTAGCACAATTTGGAATAAGCTGTAACATAACAAAATGTTTAAAAAGTGATACACTGTTTGTACTGTCTGGATGTAAAAACGGAGATGATGCAACTTGGTCCTTCAAGTTTTAGATGATCAGCCTATTCATTTTGTTGCAGGAAATCAGGTCAAAGGCAGGTTTAATAATATATAAATAAAATAAAATAAAACATGCATAAATAATGTATTAACCAATCCAAAGCCAACATTCTGTCAACTTGCTCAATTGAAGCAGAAAATGTGTGACATTGTGTGTTTGTTTGTGATACATCTTTGTTAAAGTGGTGAGGGCAGATGTGAATGTGGAGGGCAAAACTCACTGTTGATGCCCTTTATAAGCAAAGTATTCTGCTAATGTTCCTCTTTGTGTATGCTGTTTTTCAAACCATAAAAAAACAAGTAGATGCAATGATTGACAGCTGTATGTGTATGTCATGTTATTGTGAGAATGCATGCAAGAACCGCAGTAAAAGCAAACAGCAGAGGTTAGCCTATATGTTGGTTCTATCTTTATCTCTGAAAATAGATGACAGAATAACTATTTTAAGCTTTCTCCATATTATCAGAGACCCAATAGCATCTCTCCATGTTTCTAAATTAAATATTTGTTTAAAGAAATACACCCATCCCAGTAGGGTGCATATGTGTGCAGGTGTTTGATAGAATGAGGTCAGAAGAGTTTTAGTTCTAGTTTGAGTTGCTACCTTTGATGTGTGAAAGACACCAAGGTGTGTTTGTGCATTTCTCTGTGTCTGTTTGCATATAACATTTCCTGAAACATGTACACATTTGACTTTTTTTTTTTTTGGCAGGAAAGTTAGAAAAAGAAAAGAAAATACAGGATATGGCTTTATTGTCAAATCCAAGTAAAGATTTCACAAGTGATGTAGTGCTCCTTCCTAGTGGAACCACATCAAATAAGTGGAACCTTAAGGGTTAACTTTAGCAAACTGGTTTAACCAAATGAGGGAAAATTCCTTTAGTTTAGTTAGTTATGTATTAATGTTTTTATATCCACAATATTTACATTGAAACATTTTCTGTCACATATCCAGACTAATGAGTTATTCATCACCCTGATGAATATTTACACGGAAGCCCAAAAATGATTTGTTTATAGAAAGACTGAGTTAGGCACTGATTTTGAAGATCAACATGCAGCTCTCTCACTTGAAAGTCGTTTTTTTATTTTCTGTCCTATTTAAAGTGTGGTTAATAGGTCTTATCTGTCACGTCATATTTATACCTGAATAATAGGAAAACATTGATTCTTCTTATTAAATAAATCCTCAGACACTTTGATTTTTCTAATTTATAAATTGAGAAATGTGTCAGTTATTTTGCATCAGATGTGTAAAGCTTTTTTTTTTTGTACATGCAAACAGTACAGGTTATTGTGGTTTTGTATTTTTAAACCTTTTCATCCAGTTGATAACTGTACAAAGTAGATTTGGTCCTTTTCATTTTGGCACTAGTCCCATCTTCCTGGAAATGATGCCTCATCTCAACAGTAATGTCACCCAAAAACCTGAGACTGGCACATTGGTCTTCCAGAGACGGCGTCTCCTGTGTCCTCTCACTGCAAGTCTGCAAATTTGTTAGTCTGTGCAGGTACTGACTCTGTTTTTTTAATGGAATGTCAGTGAAAGGTCAAATCTCTCACACATACTTTAAAATTAACTGTGGAAAAGGTCAGCAGTGCCGTTACAGGTGAGGAAGGTGTCAGAGTCAAACAGTTTGGAAAACATAAGCAGATCTGCAGAAAGAGATCTGAGAGTTTAGTGATTGTGTGGGTGGATTAAAAGAACTGGGAATCTTCAAATATTACAAATATTACAGCACCCCAGGTCATTGGCCGCACACTTAGATTCCTATTTAACTTGATTTAATATTCAGTTTTGCTCTGTCCTCTGTTTACCACTACTACAAGTGTGAATTAGCTCCGATGGCCACTTCAGTTTTCCTACGGCTGTGTTTATGCAGCTGCAACAACAATTTCAAAATGCTGCATGTGCTGAGATCTCCTGGGACTTACTTTGATATTTATTTTAAGTCTTGGCCTTTGATTTGAACACAAATTTTACATCCACCCCCGCTTCATGTGTTAAGCCCACATTATGCAGTTTAGCCTCATGCACACATACTGTGATTTAGTGTAGTCAAATGGTCAAACAGGTGAACAACAAAAAAAAAAAAAAAAAAAAACACAGCATCAGCCACCAGTTCCAGGTTCTTCTGGTGAATTTTATTGTTTTTGTTTGTTTTTTTGTTTGTTTTTTTTTTTGCAACAGCAATGTTTAAATTAAAGCATTATGACCAACTTTAGAAGACTAAATGAGTTAGAAATAAGAAATAAGTGGTAAACAAAAACTGAAACACTTTGTCAGACATATACAACGTTTTAGCTGACAATGTATCCTAAACATAATATTGTCATGGCTCTACTTTGATAAATCTTACTTTGAAAGAAGTCAGTCGTGTTTTACTCCATCAGCGTGGGTTCACGTTCGTCTCTCCAAATGTAAAGCAAACTGACCAAATCTCTGCAAAGAGTTTGTATCTGTCCTGTTTAGCTTGACAATTACCCCAACTAGTGGCGACATGAGTGAAGTGCACAAAAGAAACCAGAATAAATGCACTTCTGTTCAACGCTGAACAGAAGTTCATAAAAGCAAGCTTCACAAGGTTGAAAATGTTGACTGCTGTTTTTGGAGGAACTAACCAAACACACAATGATGTCTGCACATCCACATATTTGTGAGCTGTGAGCAGATTTTCTGCACAAATGCAAAATAATAACAAAAAAAAAAACACTTGATTAATGTATCCGTTTGTAGAAAATGCTGAAAATGTGAGTTTGCTTTTGCTAATGCTTCCTCCTGCCAGCGACACCTTTCTGCTGAATCTCACAGCCTGACTTGTTCCCGTAAGTCTCCAAAGTTTTTATTTGTGTCTCTGCCCGGAAGGCCTGAACGATCCCTGGCAACTGACTGTGCCTGACGCTTGAGTCCTTTCATTCCTCTCACTGCTGCTAAAAATCAGTGAAAGAAACTCCTGTTTCTTCCAACATTCTGACAAGCTCTTAGCTCAGAGAGCAGGCATTCAGCTGCCAGCTTCACACTCAGCCTGCAGGTAAAACTCACTCTCTGCTACTATCTAGACTGTATGCTTATTTAGAAAGTCAGAAATATTTGTTGAATTTTGTTCATTTTTGTTCTGCTATAATTTGTATTTAACATTTGTTAGTCATGAAGTATGTGATCCTGCTGGTGACTTTAAGTGGTAAGTGATTTTTTTTTCTTTGTTGATTTTGTTTCCACACACTCAAACTGCTATTAAGCAATTCAGCTCTGAATGAATTTAGGTTCATGCAACATTTAGTATTTCTGCACCTTGAGCTGTTGCAAATTATCTTCAGCCACATTTATCTTTTTCTATTTCACCAGGAAACGCTCATTGCGATTAAAAATCTCTTTTGCGAGAGAATCCTGGCCATGACTGGCAGCAGCACGCAGAGGTTTTATTGGGATTTTTTGTGTGTGGTTGACCAAAGTTCAGTGGCACATTCTTATGTGTGGAATAAAAGTGGAAGAAATTCAACACACGGTTTCAAATTTAGTTTCAAGAAAGATTTTTTTTTTCTAAAATAACTCAAACTCAGCAATATTTAGATGGAGTGCATCTGTTAACAGCAGTTTTCAAGTCTTGCCACCAATTAGGATTTAGCTCTGGTCTGTCATTGGACCATTCTAGCACCTAGCTTTGCTTTTATTCAAACCACTCCATTGTAGATATTCATATTGTGATTGTTGTGCTGTTGGTACGTCAATCTTCATTCCAGACTGAACTATTTTGCAGCCTCTTATATGTTTTCTTGCAAGATTCCTCCATATTTAGCATCATCTATTTTCCTATTGAACCATCTTCCCTGTCCCTGATTTTTTTGAAGAAAAAAAAAAAGCATCCTCAAAACATGTCAACATGTTTCACAGTGGTAATGGTAGGTTCAGGGAAAACGCTCTGATTTCAGTGCTAGTTTCCCATCACATGGAGTGAAATGTTTGTTTTTGATCGCTCCATGAAATAAGCACCTTGTCTGAAGTGGATTTCTTATAGCTTTTTTACAGTGAAAGCTTTTTCTCTTTTTTTTTTTTTTTTTTTACCAGCTTTGCAAGTTGCACAGATAAGCTTTGTCATGTTAGGTTTCCCTCACCTGAGCTGTGAATCTCTACAGCTACAAAGTTACCGTAAAGCTTTGGCATCATCTCTGATCAACGCTCAATTCATGGTATGTTTGCAGTTGTGCCATACTCTTAATTTTTGGACGCTAAATTGAACTGTGCTTTGTGAGATATTGAAAGATTGAGAAGTTGTCTCATAACCTAACCCTGCCTTACATTTCTCCACAGCTTTATCCTCAGTACTGTTATTCTAGTTGTTGACTAAAGTTATCTTACAAACATCTTTAATTAACAACTGGGTTTTACCAAAAGTTGATGATATTGGGATGGACAGTTGTTTTAATTAAGTAGGTGACCAGTAGTAAAACATGCGTTTGGCATGCCCTTTCTTTTGCCCCGAACAATTAAAATGCAAAAATTAAATTCTTTGTTAACATAATTTGTAGCTGTGCCGCCTTAAAGCAGTAAAGGGATGACAACTCCCCACTGTCTGCTTATGCATTAAACCAACGGGACAGAACTGCCAGATATGTGAATATTTGTCAATCTGGTTCTCGCTCGTTTCCTTCCCTAATGCTGCATTGGCAACTGACCATATTGTCCATATCAAATATTGCCACAGATGGTGACTTTTTATACTTTACTTGATTTTACTGGAGGATATAACATACATTTGTATGTTGTGTTCTGATTTGCCACTGGGTGGCGATAACAGCATCAAACATTTATTTTCTTCAGGAGTTGCCAAATATCGTCTCTGATTTCTTTGTTGCAGCACCTACGTTTATAGACTTATATTTTATTGCATGGTTTATTGAAAACAAATTGGATACAAATCTATCAAACAGAAAAAGGGCCAAAAATGCCATTAAAAGCAACTAAAAGCTCAGCTTATTTAAAACTTTTAGTGAAATGCGTTATGCAACAAGTCAAAACAGAACTCTATGGGAACTTTACTTATATTTTAAATGAGCTTCCTGTTAGAAAACATAAAATACAGTTAAAACAAGAGTTCTGACTTTCCACTAACATAAAACTCAAGGTCTTGGTAGTGAACATGTACGGTAGTTTAATTATGCTGCTAGAAACTAGGATAAGCAAGAAGACATGTTTTGGTGTTAATTGGCATTCAGTGCCAAGGATTTAAGAATCTGATTTTCTGGGAGTCTTAATTGGCTGTTTTCAACTTGATAAAGAGATGTTATGCAGGTTGTAAACATAGAAAAACAAACATCCAAACAGAAATTATTTGAGCAAGTGATGCATAAATCCAGCTTTTACACTATATGCATATCTTTTTTTCTGTTTTGCTCTCTAGGTTCCAGTTTATTAAACATCAGCATTCATTCAGTCATAAAGAGTGAGCATGTGTGACCATTAAAATGCTCCATCATCGGTTTGTGAAATGTTATTTTGTGCTTGAAACATACATATAGCAATATATAAATGTGGTCAGAGGACTTTATAGTCTTTGATGGTGTCTTCTTCTTGCTCACTTGTAACTTATAAATTTTGGAGTGAAGACCTTGAGCTGCCAGAGAAAGAGATGGAGATGTTTACTGGTGTAGAGGCGGCTCCTCAGTTGCAGTTGGAGGAGGGATTTTCAGGAACATCTGCAAGGCTGGAGTGAAGATGAGTATGGTGCCCAGAATAGAGACAGTAAGGAAAGCCCAGAGGAAGATCCGGTCTAACACCTGGGCAACAAACTTCCAGTCTTGAACCACCTGTGAAAAACAGAAACAAGACATAAAATATGGGAAAAGCAATCGAGTGAGATTAATGACACCTATACCCACCTCGCGGATGAAGTGCTCTTTACGGATGTGTCTGCTGATGTACCGCACCGAGTAGATGGCCTTCTCCAACATGGTGGCCCAAGCTTCTTCCTCCTTCCCATCAGAAGCTGCCTGTCCACATGCTCCGCTGCTCGTCTTCCAACCTCCCCTCCGACTTCCAGAGCGAGGCTTCAGTTCAGGACTTTCCGGAGCCAGTTCCGGGTAGTGGTACCGGTCCGTGTGTCCTCGCATGCAAAGCAGTCTGGGCAATTTCTGCAGGAAGAGACTGCGAACCCATGGCGACATTGGGTGATAGGTGGCCGAGGAGCGGTGGTGCACATTGATGACGAAGACGGTGACGATAATCGAAAGGGTGACGAAGATCATGATGAAGAGCAAATATTCTCCGATGAGAGGGATTACTTTGGAGGAGGAGGGGATGATCTCCTCTATGACCAAAAGAAACACAGTGAGGGACACTAGGACAGAGGTGGAGAGTGACAGCTTCTCTCCTTCATCAGAGGGAAGGTAAAACACAAGGACAGTAAGAAAGGACAAACCCAAACAGGGAATGATGAGAAAGAGCGTGTAGAAGAGTGGCAATCTCTTCAGGATGAAGGAGTAGGTGATGAACGGGTAGGAGTACAAGCCATCCTTCCTGTTTCCTTTGGCTCCAGTAGCACTGAGAATCTCCCACTCTCCATTGTCAAAGAAGTCTTTCCGATCAACGTGGTTGTCCATCAGGACCAGGTCCACCATGTTGCCATCGTAGGTCCACGACCCAAACTTCATGGAGCAGTTCTGCCGGTCAAAGGGGAAGAAGGTGACGTCCATGGTGCAGGCAGACTTGTAACTGGCGGGTGGTGTCCAGGTGATGGCACCGTTGTGCTTTACGATGGCTTTGGTCATCAGGGAGCCCTCGAAGCGTCCATCAGCGCTGAAGAAACGTAAAGTCAAAATCAGGAATGGGTCGTTTTTCCAACAAAATTACAGTACGTTGTTTTATTTATGTTAGTGGTTAAATCTCCATCATATTTTATTTTTCATCAGTGTAATAAATTAAAATAGAGAAGTGAAAACTGAATGCAATCATGGCATGTTATTCAATGTCACATCAATGTTTTGTACATTTCAAATAAAATAAGCATCACATACATATTTTTAGTGTACTTTCCATACTGATATGGAATCCAAGAATTAAACTCACAGGAGGTTTAAACTAAAACCTCCTTTCATTAACTTCTTGGAGCATATATCTGTTCTGCAGTGGTGGTAATAGCTTAAGCACAAGAAGGAATGAGATTTTATTTTTGTTGCATTGCTTTTATACAAACCCTCTACGTCATATTTGGCGTTTCATCTTCACTAATCAATTACGATGTGATTTGCTGGTGCTGGCGTAAACCTGCTGTATCGATCAGTTACCACCAGGTGGGGCTGAAGGGTACAGAAAGGGTTGCACAAATAGAGGGAACAGTGAGATGGTGTGAGGGATTTCTGTACGTCTTACTTCTCATATAGGACGATGTCTGGGAGCCAGATATTTTCTGAGGGAACTCGGATGGAGGTGATTCCTCCATATTCATCTGGACTCCATCGCAGCTTGTAATCAATCCACTCCTGGTCAAGATAGACACAAAATACATCATAACTCTGGGAACCTTGGAGAACATTACACAAATAACTGATCGTTTATTTCAGGAGGGTAAACGGTGGGTAAATTCATGATGAAATTAGCAGGGCTTACCTGAGTCAACCAAACGTTTGTTGTCATAAGCTGGTTTTTCTCATCCTAAAATATATTTTAAAAAACAAGCAAAAAAAATCTAAATATCTACTCACGAGAAGAAACAAAGAAAATGGTAAAAGGCTAAGTAAGAGAGGGCTAATGGAATAAGACACAACATATAAAAAGCCCATATTTTTTAACTGCAATAAGTAAAAACAATAGTTAAGTAACACTGCAAGTGATTATTTTATTTGTTTGTTTATGTGACACATTCAGATGATGTGTAAAATTATTTATTATATTTTACAGATCTGAAGAAAATATAGGACATTTTCAGAGCTTGGAAAATTAGTCTAACTTCATATGTACATCTTATATTATTTTTTTAATAAATCTAAATAACATATTGGATTTTGGATTAATATAGTGAAACTGTCAAAAAAAACCTCTATATCCTTTAAGGATATAGATTCATGTCATATTTGTGCATATTTAGTTAATTGATCTAGCTACAATTTTTTTTCTACATACTTATTGATGTGCTATGTTGTTGTCCCCTGTTCAACTATTTTTGTTGTGTAAAAGTAATCACTTCTTTTCTGGAAAAGAACCTAATTAACTAAAATATACTAGCTGTGGACCAAACCAACCCAGTGCAAATAGTAAACAAAGGACATCAGGAAATGACATGTCGGATGTAGCTAACTTGTTTTCACATCAGCAAAGGCAGGTTTAGACGAAGGAGGAAGGTTGTGGAGGGATAAGTGTTGCATTTGAAGGAGATGTATCCAAACCTGCAGCAGATCATCCAGTCCAAGCCTCAGCTGTCAAAGTGGGTTGGATGTTTTGGTGATCACACAGACCAGATGTGAACCATAATCTAATACTGGGCCATGCAGCAGCCCAGGGAGACTCTGGGGACATAAACAGTGAAGCAAAGCTGCAGTGTTTACTGTTGGCTCTCCTGCCATTTCTCTCTCCAAGCCCGGTTCAGCAGCCGAAGAGCCTTGAGAGGTTTTATCCACTCATAGCTGTTTCCAGTGCAAAGACCAAGAATAGTAAGATATATTTAAACTGATTTAGATAAATATTTCAAGCAAAGAGGAGTGCTTCCTCCATCAGCAGTCCCAGTTTTCTCTTCTGAAACACCTAAATCATCTCAACCTATCACAGATAGATGCTAAAATATTTACAGAGAGTAACATTTATTTTAAAACCAGGTAGAGCTTCAATGGTCTGTTGAATTCAGCACACCAGGTAGAACCAAAAGGTCAAAGATTTCAATTACCATTTTCATTTGTGCTTTAATTCATTTTGCTCATGTATTTTTAAATGTATTTTTCTTGGCTAAACAAGTACTTCTTATTAACATACAAGTGAGTATAATTTATAGCTACCTGTAAAAAATATTCTCTATCAAAATCAACAGTTTCTGTCCCACACAATAGTAGATTCTTAAAATAATCATAGTGCTCATTCACATATAAATATTTTGTTGCCATGACACCTATACTTAAATTTAAAAGAACAGTGTCGTTAAGTTAAGTATTTCTATTATTTAAAATGAATAATTTTCTCCTTGCTTCAGTAATGCTGCACTGCTGGGCTGTAAAATTTAGTCTATTCTTTTAGCATTCTTTTTAGAAATACTTATAATAATTTGAAAACACTTTGAAAATAACATTTTTATGTTTAATTTAATTTGACTTTGATGGTAAGACAGAAGTGCAGGTGCATTAACACCAAACTACAACCATGTTTGCCTGATTTGAGATCACTGTGCTCTTTTTTTCCATTGCAAATAATATTCTGTATTTGCAGTTTGTTTCAGTCGCGTGGGAAAATTTGGCATCACAGGAAAATTTTACTTTCTGTTCCTCAAATACTGTAATAACTTGACCACTTGGGGACACTCAGGGAATATAGACATTTAATTTCTAGATTGTTGATCCTTCAATATAAAAATGTGGCACGACAGAAAAAGCAAGTATAAAAAAAAACGAACACTAAATTCCCACAATATTCATCCCAGTACACATGTACTATTCAACCCTAGTGAGAATTGAAATTGATCCATAGTTCAATGACACGAAAAAACTTAATAATCTACAAATTGTCCTTTTCTTTATGTTTAGACCCAATGTTTTTAATCTGGCAGTATGCATTCCAAGACATGAAAACAGTGCGACAGCAACTTGAGGATTCGTTTTAGCCTCAAAGACTCATACGGAGGACTGGCTTTACTGTCCAGATTTCTGTTGCTTCAAGTCAAAGTTATTTCTGCAGGCCACCTCAGTTTTCCATAAATGTCTAAGTTTGATTGTCTATTGTTGTAACACAATCAAAAATGTATTTTATTCAAATAACTAATTACTAAAGTTAGCTAAAATACCCAAACATAAAACTGTTATCAAGTCCAATCAACCAAATTAATCATTTACACAATACAGATTACTAGCACTTGTAAAATAAGCTTGGTTTTACAGTTCGAATTTCAAAACTAGAATGCTGGTAAGTTTGTCAGAGAAAGGACCAATTAAACACTGGCTTTGTACTGGAGTATTTAGGGTTTGTTTTTGCAAAGAATGAAAAATAACTTAGCTGAGACTTACGATTTAAGACGCCAGATTAGACCTTTAAGAGGACTTTGTAGATATGGAGTTTGATATGTATTTAAAAAAATATTTCTTTTGCTATTTTTTGAAATCCCCCAACTTGCATAGAGTAACTTTCAATTGTTAAAAAAAAAGTTCATATATATTAACAGGCTGATTTAATGCTTGTGTGAATATTTTTGCTTCACTACAGGATGTGAGAAACGTTCCTTTTTTCCACTTTAGATTAGACTGAGATAAAAAAATATTAATGAGCTGCTTAAATGTAAGAGGATGAACAAACAATGTGTTCATATAGTTGGAGTCATCTCACCACATCAACCAGCTGAGAGATCTTGAGTCCAAAGCGAACTCTGACGGTGTCGTTGGCTCGCTGGATGGGCCTGACCCAGCGCTGATATCCCGTGAAAAGTTTCTTAAGCAGAGCGTCCTCCCTCTCCGCAAAGACAAACTTACTGGGAGAGGAAGCTAAAACAAAGAAAATATTGATATGCTTTTCAACTATCTCGAAAAAGGGGTTTTCACTGTCTTACAAACCTCTGAACTTGAGAGGTGGATACATGTTGACACTTATTAAATGTTGCATCCAGATTTTGCAGAAATCCAAATTAACTTTACCTCGTGATGCTTTCCCACACAAAAGAGCTTTTAACAAAATCTCTACAAATGTGGAATGGCAGCTCCGTGATATGATTTTTCTAGAAGTGTTTATAAATTGAAGTTCAAGAAAATCAGAGTAAACATGTTTGCTGGAATACAATTAAAACTGTGCATAATCCATCCATTTTCTGAACACCCTTGTCCCTCAGTGGGGTCGGGAGGGGTGCTGGTGCCTATCTCCAGCTAACGTTCCGGGCGAGAGGCGGGGTACATCCTGGACGGGAGGAAACCGGAGTACCCGGAGAAAACCCACGCATGCACAGGGAGAACATGCAAACTCCATGCAGAAAGACTGGGGCCGGGAATCGAACCCAGAACCTTCTTGCTGCACGGCAACAGCTCTACCAACTGCGCCACTGTGCAGCCTACTGTGCATAATGTATGAGTATAATATAACTGTGTCCATAAAATGGATAGTCAGCATATCGGTCAGTAATAGGAGGTCTCTGGAGGAACAGAATCTGTAACACTGATATGAGACGGCTCTAACATCCGACACAGGAGAAATGAGAGGGGGGGTAAATGGAAATCCTAACGAGAAGATGGAGCATTTTCACCTTTCACTGGCTTGCATCTAACTTTCATCATCTGATGGCGCTTATGGATAAATGTCTATCAGGTCTAAACTGTGCAGCATTTATTCCCATGAGCACATGCTGCACATTCAAGGGCAACTGCAGGAGGCGTCGACACTGAAATTGGACTCTTGTGTTCTTGTTTAACTGATGAACAAACAACTTTAACAGAGGTCATCATAATCCTGTGCAGTGTTCTTTTGAAGCGAACCACATGCAGGATGCAGTAAAGATTGGCAATACAAACTTTAACAAATCTTTCAAATACATACAATCTTTTTTTTTTAGCTGAAAGTACACATTTGTTATTTCTGTTGCATTTTTTTTTATTCTTTAACACTTCTACTTCACCGTTATATTTTTACAACCATTTATGCAAAAAAAAAACAACAAAAAAAACAAAGAAAAACGATTAATTCCAGTTCTTTCAACGAACTGCAATTAAAGTTACATTTTCAACTTTCTGATAGCCTTGAAAATAAAAGCTGTTATAAGTAAACTGCTGTTTTGTTATACGTCTGTTATTTTAAAATGATCACTTTCCTGTGAGATTGTGAAAACTTCGGTGCACCTATCTCGGAGGATCTTTGCCATGACGCTTTAAACAATTAAATAAATACTATTTTCTTTTCACATGAGGCAATGGCCTGGCTAAACCTGAAACAATCACAAACACCGACATAAAGAGTTTCCTCACCGGCACCGCCGCACACAGGACACACCGCCAGGAGAAGCAGGAGGAGGCGGACCACCAACTTCATCTTGTTTCCCAATCCCGCTCGCAGTCGTCTGTTGTTGCTATTATTACTATGTCCCGTTTAGCGGAGGACAATGACTCGCCGAGGTTCCCATCAGCAGCGTGTGCAAAATCACCGCGCTCCTCCAGTTATCCAGCAGGCAGAGGCCCGGCTTGATTGTGCGTGTGCCTGTTTATTGCAACTCCCTATCGAGGCGTTATAGGAAGCGGCACAGCGGGAAGTCTCTCTGGATGGGGAGGAGGAAGAGGAGGAGGAGGGCAAAAAAGAGGGAGGAGGGCGATTGGTGCAGAGATGTGGAGTTTTTTTGGGTTTTTTTAATGTCCTCTAAACCGCGGGACTCCTTTGCTTTTGTGGAAGGCTGTATAGGTCTGGGATGTTTCTAGCCTTTTAAAAATACAAACAAAAATCTAACAAAAAAAATATTTAAAGAAAACAGGTGTGTTAGTGTGGTCGGGAATCTGTATTTTTAAACGATGCTCGATTTGCACACGTTCACAAGTCAAAGCGTGTAAAGGATTGATATTTATAGCCTTGGTTTGACTTAAAAAAAACAAAAAAAAAACTTTAGCGTCTAATGTGCTATATTACACTGATGACCTCAGCAAAAACAAATAGAGTCAAGTTCACAACACATGCAACTTAATATTTTTGGCTTTTTCCACACAGAAACATTTACAAAGTTATAATCTTACCAGAAATCAGTTCACATGCCCGTGTTGCGTTTTCTTGGTATGGCATTTCGTTCAGGGCATCATGGACTGAGGGGCGCCACAAGGGAAAACTAAAAAACAGCTGAACTGTACAAGATGAAAGTTCTGTAAGACAATATAATAATACATCTCTTCAACTACATCACCTGGAGTCTGATTTGCATATTATGATTTGGTATTAAATTAAGGGTCTATTTAGTTTGTTTCAAGTCTTGCTAAATACTCTAAGCCATCCTATGTTTTACTTGTCCCTAGTCCCTAGTGGGGTCAGGAGGAGACAAGGGTGTAAAGAAAATGGATGGATGGATTTACTTGAACTAATCTGATGTCAGATAGATGGTCATGAACTAATGATTACTTAATACACAATCTGGATATTCTTAAAATCTTCATCCTACTTGTGAAACTATAATAAAATTGAAATGCAATTGTTAATTCCAATTCTTTATTCAAATTCAAAACAATTCAGAAAATAAAAATATCTAGATCAGTCAAGCACAAGAGATTCTTGCTTGTAAGTTAGTTAAAGTTTGTTTTTAATTTATTCTCTTTTCTTTGTCTTTGGGTGGGTGTGGCAGCAGAAGAACGGGCTCGCTCGGGTTGCCAACCAAGAATCTCCACTGTTAGCAAAGATCAACATTGTCATCCTACTGTGTTTTTTACTTTGGTGGTTTATTAACCTTGCATCACACATAATTTTACTTTCTGTAGTGCCAACCTTTCTTCTAAGTACTGCAAAAGGTAGCCCTTGTATTATTTGTGGAAACTGCTCAACATTTGGAGAACCAGGCATAATAAAAGTTTAGTCATTTAAGTGAAGTTAATATAGGAATACTGACTGTTTTTTAATCAAGTGAATAAATCAATATGAGTAAAACATTAGGGACCATTTCATCTCCAAAAAGATAAAACTAAAGAGTGCTAAAGTATCACTTAGAGCAGAATTTTGCTTTACTTGTGTTGTAGATACTTTTTGAACTGTGATCATTTTATTAGCAGTCTAGTACTCTCCACTTTTTAATTTGTCTTGCTCCTGTTAACCTCTCCTCTGCCTTGTCCTGCTTTCACAAAAATAATGTCGCTGGATCCTAATCATCAAGATCTAATAAGATTTGTCAGATGTTTTATGTGAGAATGGGCTTGCTCCTACTTAGTTACTTTCTCAGAATACATTTTAGTTTCTACGGTCTTTTGTTGAATGGTAGGTATTCTTTATTTTAATTAGGTTATTTTAGGCGTTAAAGTGCCAATATGGTGTCATTTGTCACCGGTCTTGTCGAACTACTCTCTGATTAATGCTACAGCTGGCTGGCTTTGGTTTGACTTGTTGGATATTGTTCTGAGACCTTGTGACAGGAGAGGGAATAAATCAAATGTAAGAACCTGTAATAATACCAAGCTATGTGTTCAGGTTTGATTAAGGATCTGCCACAGTAGTAAAAGAGGCAGCACGTTTTGTAAAGAAAAACTTAATGAATAATTATTGTTTATGGGATAGAAAAGGGTAGTCAAGGTTACCTTTTGTCTGTGTTTTGTTTTCACATTTCTCTCTATTCTAGTAGTTATGTTTCCATTGTGATTGTTTGCACCATTCCCATAATTTCTTTATTGTTTCTAGCCATTACTCCATTAGTACTTCAGTTTATGCGCTCATTTGTCTGCAGCACATTTAATTACTAATACAGTTCATTGCTCCAATGATCGTCTCTCCAACTATGCTGTCTCGTTTATCCACTGCTTGCCGGATTTTTCTCATGTTGTCATTATGTTCCAGTCCTCTTGAGACCCTTTGTGTTTTTTTTTTTTTGTGTTACTTTGGTTCTCAGTTTATGAAAGTAATCTACAAACTCAAATGATTATGTGTTCCCCTTGTCTGTGTTTAGGTCCTACACAAAAAAGAAAACATAAATAGGAAAATCACACCAAGATAGACTACGCAAAAATTACACTAATAAACTCAAAGCATAAAGGGCATAACACTCTAGAAAGAAGATATATTTCAATGACAGTTGTGAAATGAAATGGAAAAGCATTATGTGTGAGGCATAAAAGAGAGTTTCAAGTTAATTAAAATTATTAACTGTGTTTTACATCTTGCTTAGATTTTGAAAAAGCTTTTTAAGCCATCGGTGTGGCCAGCAACACATCTGATGAAGAAATGTGGGAAGTGATATCTTTACTGTGCGACACCTGCTGATTCTAGGCGGGTGATAGAGCTGGATGAATGTAGTTGTTTAGTTGGGTCCCGGCATGTTTGGTATTTTTTAATAAAACTAATAAGCAAAATGCTGCAAGGCAGTTATACACACACACACGCACACACACGCACACACACACTCACACACGCACACACACAACACACACACTCCAGTTAATAAGAGCCCAAATTCCACATACATTAGACTGGAGCTGTGAAATTTGAAAATACTGTGCTCAGTTTCCAGCTGGGCATCATTATAAGGACATCCAGACAAAATCATCAGTATTTACTGAAAACCTCAGGCAGATAAAACAAAAGTGCCGCATTATTGTTCCGACATTGATGAGGGTGAATGCTGACCTTTCCACTAATACGACTCACTAAAATCCATGCATTCTGTTGATAACCAGGTACGGGAAACACATTTTCTTTTCTTTTCTAGTTTTTTTTCCCCCCGCTTATTCCTGTAAATAAAAGATGTAAATACATTTTTTTTTTCTCACTCTCTCTTCCTCCTCAGAGCTCCGAGTTTCTCCTTCCCCTTGGGTGGGAATGACAGGGATAACGGGAGGCTGATTATCACAATGAAATTATCCTAATTTTCTGCCTCGCTTGGAGCCGTGGGGCGGGCAGCTGCTGCCTCAGAGATCGTCCCGTCTGCCTCGTCCCTAATCATTGAAAAACACAAATTCTCGCTGACTGCAAACCTGCCAGTCCTTTTTGGACGGATAGGTGTGGGTGTTTTAGTTGGTGTGTAGCGTCTGCACAGCTATGTGGGAATCAAATCCTGTTTTTAGTGCGTCTTGTTTCCTTTTTATGCCTCTGTTTTGGGTTGTTTTTGTTTTCTCAGTTTCCGTTGCGCCCATAATTAAAGGCTGCATAATTTCACAGAAACATTTAATTGATAAGAGGAAACAGCCATGTCTTCACAGGCCTGGGGGGTTTAATCTTAATCAGTTTGTTATTTCAAGGAGTTGTTTTTTTTTCTTTTTAAGAAAAGCTGCTGATAAGTGAGAGAGGAGATTGCAGAGCAAAGGAAATTTAAATCTCACACATACTTCAAAGGCAAACTCTAAGTCAGTAGTTTCACATGTGCCAATAAAATGATCCTAGATAAGCTTTCATACCAGCGAAATTCCCAAAAGAGATATAAGATGACTTAGGAGATGTTTCTCAAATCTGTTCCAAAAATCACCCATTCCTCAACAACGCTTCAGCTCAGTTATTTTACGCTTTAATTCGCCCAAGTACCAGAGAATTACAGACTAACGCAAGAGCAGATGGACCTTTAACTACAAAACGGTAAGAAAATACTCACTGAACTGAGATTCAGTACCAAATCTGGATCTTCCAATCTTGACCTGGAAAACTCTAGCAGGAAAATGTTCCCTCTTCTTCTTCCCCACCAGCACAGACGGTTATTGACTTGAAACGTGACACCTCAGTTCAGCTGCCTCTAACTGGTTTTCCTTCTGATTTCATCTGACTGATAAAAAACATAATTGATGGAAAGTAATGCCCACAGCTCACTGTAGCAGTACAGTCTCTCAGAAGAACAGTAATCAAGTCTGCAACATGCAAAACCCTAGAATGCCACTTCTGTACTTGCATATATGAGTATTTGAACTTGTAACATTTGTGTTATGTCACACAGGCATATTGTTGAGACTATTCCTACTTCTGGAATAACAAGCATTTACACATAACACAAATCTTAAAATATTGTAGCGAGTGATTTGGAGGAATTATCTAGGAAAGGTTCTCTGAAATGAGGAAGATGTGACTGCATGTGTTAAGACTAAAATAAAGCAATTTTTACTTGGATCTATGAAAGTTTTAACACAGTTTTTGATTTGGGGAATTTGGCAATGTGTGGGTGTCTTCATTTTATTTTTATAACTTCCAAATACCTCAGTTGGTAAATGTTGGACTTTCTCAGCTCACGGTCTGAAGTAGACAAATCCTAATTACTCATCAGGTCATTCCTCAACTTCCATCATCAGGGTAATAATTACTGGGTTTAACATGCTTAAACATGGAACATCACACAGATGGATAAATGTTAATGTATTTATATAATGCATGGAAGTAATGAAATCAGGATTTCCATGCTGTAGGGTCATTTACAACTTTATTACCGTGCCTCACTAGGAAATATTTAGAGCTATCAGGACCAATGTGGCTTTTAAAATACCCTGTATATCTTTCTGAAAATACTTTATTAGCAGGATTGCTTAAGCAACAACAACAAATGCAGTGACATTGTGTTTAAAAGAGAGATAAATACCCAAAACTAAGATGTAAATGTGTCACAAGCTCTTAATTCCAGCTGTAA